AGTGTTTGAGCTGAGCTACTAGCTGTCCGCTGATACTGTACATGATCTGAATTTTGTCGAGTGCTGTTTTTCCATGGCACTGTCTAACTATAGTGTCTAGTGGCGAAAATCGTGTGTGATTCTTGTTACCTTTGGTCACATTATTCCTTGTCTCTTGTGAGGCTTGGTCAAGCAGATCGAGGAGGAGTAGCATCAACTACTGTGCAGCGCGTCCATTGGCACAGGCCGGTGGCCACAGGGCTTTGCTTGGTTGCAGTACAGAGAGTGATCGAGGTACTGTTTGTAGGTTAAGATTCTAAGAAGTAGTACGTGAGAATATGAAAAAAATGAAAAACCTAGCTTCCGACTTCTAATGCATTTTCTGAATTCTACAAATACATCTTGGCCGAGTTTATTTCTAAACTTTTTTTCAAACTTTCAACTTTTTCATCACATCAAAACTTTTCTACACACATAAACTTCCAACTTTTCCGTCACATCGTTCAAATCTCAACCAAACTTTTTATTTTGGCGTGAACTAAACACACCCCTTATCAAAATCTAAGTGAAAATCTAGACTATTTGAAAGAGTTTCTAACAGCGAGAGGTTTTAAGAGAAGCTGCAGCTATCAGAAACTACCGTAAACGGAGAGAGACTAGCTAGCCCAGCAGGCAGAGCGCCGTCCAGGCCAGTGCGAGCTTTGAATGAGGGTGGTGGTCAGGTCAAAACCTATGCGTTTCCTGGTCACAACGTAGTAGTAGCTGAGAGGCTGCGAGCTACTCTACTTCGTTTCAGTTCGTTTCAGTCCGGTGGCTTCCCGGGTTTCCCGATCGAAAGGGTCCAGTTTTCCGGCATGGTTAATTGGTTAATTAACTGCGTTCTCACGGAAAGACGCTATGCCTAGAGCCCTAGTAGAATTGGTGCTTGTCAGAATTCCGGTGAAGTTTCGCAGGGAAATCGTACGTTGTGGCGTTTTTGCAAAGAAGTTCACGAGAAATTAACGGCTCGTTTCCATTTCCATTGGGAGCGTATGAGGTTCAGAAGAAAGTACTACTATAATTAGTGTTCTGTCCTTTCAGCATGCAGTATGAAAGTGTCCCGATGAGAAGCAGCAAATGACAAGTGGAGATGAACCCTAGGGAAAAAAAAAACTACTTTGAACTACTGAGCTCTCAACTAATCCAGCTTTGAACGCATGCATGATTGGACGAGCAGCTGATTTGACTGCCACCGTGGATAACAAAAGAACAGTACCATCACCACCACCACCACGCCGATCGATGTCAGTATTCGGTACAGTCACCAACTGCTGCCACTTTGACCACGCAAATCTAAAAACAACGGGAAGAACAAACAGAAAAGAAAAAAAAAACTAGTGACACGCTGCTGACATTTTATCCCCAAGACCAAACCGATAGCTCGATGCATATGCCAGCGACTGGCAAACCTAATCCACCCTGCACATGCGACGACGACGACGATAGACGAAGACTGGCTAGAAGCCGTGGTTAATTACTGGCTCGTGATCGAAACGCACCACGGCGAACAGTGGCACGTACGCCTACGACACGCATCAGCTGGACCATCGCGCGCGTAATAAAACAACGGCAAATGTGGCCGGGGGGGACGGTGTGTGCTGTGTTTGGGCACGTAGGTAGAGTCAAAGCGTGGCGTGCGGTGGCAACGGCGGTCGGTGGCGAGCGCGCCACGACGACAGGTTGGAGAGGCATGTGATGTGAGACGGTGGGGAGAGTGGCATGCAGTGCCTGCCGACGAGGATCGCGGATGCCCTGGCCGAGTGGCCGGCGCCAATAATTAGGGGGTCGCTACGCTAGCCGCCGATCGATATGCTGCTAATCGGGTCGGGTTACGGCCATGCCTGCTGCTGCCGCGCGCGCGCCTGATGGACATCCGTTTTTTTTTTATGTTTTTTCGTGGCGTTTTCCATTGGAGAAACGGCGGGTAGGATTAGCCGGCCCGGGGCCCTGTCGGATTGGAGGGGCGTACGTACACCAGCGTCTCGGTCTCGTCCTCTCCGGTTTGACCGCGCGCCAGCCTTGCAGGCTTGTTGGTTGCAGCCACGGTTTCAGCCGTTTCTTGTGTCTAGCTAGCCATCGCGATAGCGGTTAGGGCAGCCACAATGATTGTTATATATATATATATATATATATATATATATATATATATATATATATATATATATATAAAAGAGATGTATGTCAGCATATTTTCCTACTTAAAAGGTATTAAATGAAGAGAGAGAGCAAAACTATCTACTAACTTAGAGATAGTCTATAGAGAAAAACGAGGCAATGTATGAGAGAGCTATAGATACTAATGTAGACATACTTACTATCAATCGAGTCTATTGCTGAGATGTACATATTTTATAGAGAGCACCTTACTTTACTATTGCGGGTGCTCTTAGCCGGCCTTATTGTTCGATTTTAGGATTCAAGACACGTTCCAACGTTTAAAAAGATCTTTAAATATGGTCTGATATTGATGTCCCGTGTTTCTCTTTTTTTCGGTCGTTCAGATGATGTCCGGACATGTTCATATATTGAGGGCATTTCGGTACCGCATATCACACCTTTGGGTAAAATCATGGAAAACTACAGAATAAAGACGATGACTATAAGATAAAGAAAAAAAGACAAAACTTTCACTAAGCGATGAAGTTAACTCATAATTTATTTTCATGATACACTCTGTTAAAAATGTTGTAATAATTTTCTCAAAAAAACGCTAATAAGTTTTTTAAAACATTTACCTCGTATTTTAAAAATATTTGAAAGAGGATGTGTCGATATACAACTGTAGTTATCATGCACTTAATATTTTCCTCGTGTAATAACAAGGAGTCACCGACTGTCACCAAAACAATGTAGTGGCAACCGGCAGCACATGAATAAGAAAAAAAATCACCTCTAATATATCGATGTATTTGTATCATGCTGAAATAAAAAGTAGTTACTACTAAATTGAATATATAGGCACTAATTTATGCCGAATATGTTCAATCGCACTTTTAGAAATGAGGATTATCACGGAATATGTTATTTCGGTAACTTTGTGTTAATAAAGACATTACTACTTAACCATGATTGAGATATAAAAATTAAGCATCTATAAAATTCATAGTATCACACCTATATTCTGTTCTCAACCCCAATTTTTTTATCATGATCATTAATATTACACACTCCTTCTAAATAAATAAATTCAAGATTTTCACATGACTTAGTTTATATTTCAAACAAATCCTCTAAAACTGAAAATGTTTCCCACGATAAATCTATTAGTATCAGTGAATCATCTTGTCCGATGGTTTGTTTAGAGAGATCAAATTAGTGGATAATATCTCTGCAATCTAAAACAGTAGCATCAATTGCATAAAAATCATAGATAAGTAGCATCAGTAGCCTTAAAAAAGCAACTAATACGATGAAACATATAAAACTGCTTGTTAATTAAAACATTGCTATGCAACCGTGATTGAAATATACAAATTAAGCATCCATAAAATTCATGCTAAAGACTTACCGCATCTTTAATCTTCTTAGTTTCTTTTGGCCCTAGTTTTTTTTAATCTAGATACAACAAAAAAAAACAACAATTATAATGAAACGAATACAATCACATTTTAATAAAAATATCGCTATGTAACATGACTAAAATATACAACTTAAGCATCCATACAATTTATTCTAAAAATGTACCACATCTATATTCTTCTTGACTACTTTCAACCCTAACATTTTATCCTGATACAACCTTAAGAAAGCAACAATCACGATGAAACGGATAAAACCACATGTTAATAAAAAATTACTACGTAACCGTCGTTGAACTATACAGATTAAGCATCCATAAATTTCATGCTAAAGACGTACCACATTTCTATTCCTCCTGACTATTTTCAGCCCCAACTTTTTATCCTGATACAACCTTAAGAAAGAAACAATCATGATGAAACAGATAAAACCACATGTTAATATAAATATTACTATGTAACCGTTGTTGAAATATACCAACTAAGCATCTATAAAATTCATGCTAAAGATGTACTACATCTCTATTCTTCTTTATTTATTCCGGCCCAACTTTTTATCCTGATACAATCTTAAGAAAGCAACAATTACGATGAAACGGACAAAATCACGTGTTAACAAAAATATTTCTACGTAACCGTCATTGAAATATACAAATTAAGCATTTATAAAAATCATGCTAAAGACGTACCGTATAGTTGTTTCTTTCTGTCCCAACCTTTTATCGTAATACAACCTAAAGAAAGCAACAATCACGATGAAACGGATAAAAACATAAAACCATATGTTAATAAAAATATTTCTACTTAACAGTCATTGAAATATACAAATGAAGCATTCATAAAATTCATGCTAAAGATGTACAACATCTCTATTCTTCTTGACTTATTCTAGCCCGAGCTTTTTATCCCGATACAACCTTAAGAAAGCAACAATTACGATGAAACCGATAAAAACCGTACGATGATAAAAAATATTTCTATATAACCGCCATTTGAACATACAAATTAAGCATCAACAAAATTCATGCCAAAGACGTACCACATCTCCATTCGTCATCCATACCCAATTCTTTATCCTAATCAATACCACCAAAGACTCCTTCTAAACTAAGAAACTCAAGATTTTCACCTTGGTTCATCTCTCATGCAAATCCTCTAAAATTCCTCCTATAAAACATCCCAGTTCATGAAAGAAAACCCTTCAAAAATATCATACTGAGCACAGTTATTAGCTGGAGGAGTCAGCACAGTTATCGGTAAAACCACTTCCCCATCTGTCCAAACTCCAAAGCCGGCCTCACCGGCAGCAGCCACACCACACCACACCACAACACCCCGCAGCCTTGCTGCCTCCCCTCCCTGACCGGTCAAAAGCACACCACCACCATCCCCCCGCAAAGCCAAGCACCAACGCTCAGCAGCAGCAGCCGCCTCCCTCCCCAGCTCAGCTCAGCTCCCCCCCGCATGGAGGCGCCGCCGGGGCCGGAGCCCATGGAGCTGGACGCGCCACCGCCCCCCGCCGCCGTGGCGGCGGCGGCGGCGACCGCCGGCATCAGCGAGAAGGTAACCCGTGGGGAGGGGGGTGTCCAGATCTGGGGTGTCGGGGTGGATCTGGGCTGGGGCTCGGTGCCGATCTGCTGGTTTCGGTGGTCGTTGGGCTAATGCTGGTTTTCTCTCCGGTGTCTCGCGGCGCCGTTTTTTTTTTTTTTTTTTTTTTTTTGGTTGGAGGTGCTGCAGAAGAAGGAGGAGGGCGGGGGCGACGCCGTGACGGGTCACATCATCTCCACCACCATCGGCGGCAAGAACGGCGAGCCGAAGCGGGTGAGCTTTTTTCGGGGTCTTTTTGGTTTCTGTTCTTCTTTGTGTACAGTGGAATGTGCTAGTTTTGGCGCCCTTCGCTTGCTTCCTTGCTCGTAACAATCACTTGGTTCGCTAAGGATTTGTGCTCTCTTAAGCCGTTTCTAAGCTGTTGGTAGTGTTCGGCTGATCAAGTTAGCTATCTATGTGCTGATTCGTCGGGGAATCGCAATTTTGTGGGTTTGGGGCTGACTAGATACAGTTGTCGTTTTGATTTGTAAACAATTTAGCATTTGACTGATAAAATTACGTAGTGTATTCCTCAATTAAATGTTTGGTTATTCAATTACTTGAGGATAATGTACATTTTAGGAAGCATGATTTTCTTTTTCTGTCCGCTATTTCATAGTCTATCCTGTTGTTTCTAGGGGGTAATAAATGCTTCACTTCTAATTTTAGTTAGTCATGATAAGCTGGAACTCTGATGCACAACATAGAATCCGTCAATCTTGAGATATTGTGCGCGATTTCTCATGCGATTTTTTTCTTACCTTAACTGCAGACAATTAGTTATATGGCGGAGCGAGTTGTAGGAACTGGTTCTTTCGGGATTGTGTTCCAGGTACGATGCTTGGTCTTATGGAAATGCATGCTTACCGTGTATTGTACATTTTTTGATATGTTTGAATCAAACTGATTTAGTTTTCACATTTAGGCTAAGTGCTTGGAGACGGGGGAAACGGTGGCCATCAAGAAGGTGTTGCAGGACCGGCGTTACAAGAACCGTGAACTGCAGCTTATGCGCGCAATGGAACACCCCAATGTCATCTGCCTGAAGCACTGCTTCTTCTCAACCACAAGCAGGGATGAGCTGTTCCTGAATCTTGTTATGGAGTACGTCCCTGAGACACTCTACCGTGTGCTCAAGCACTACAGCAATGCTAACCAGCGGATGCCATTGATCTATGTGAAGCTTTACATCTATCAGGTTTGTCAGCCACCATGTTAACACCTCTCTGATTGCCACTATGCTTCTCATTGCTTCTCTAAAGATACTTTTGCTATGCTTGCAGCTTTTCAGAGGGTTAGCTTATATTCATACTGTTCCAGGAGTCTGCCACAGGGATGTGAAACCACAAAATGTTTTGGTATGACTTATGTGAACAAGGCTACATTACTTCTCTTGCTTGGTTGTTTGTTTTGAACTGGTCTCTAATTGCTTGCTGATACAGGTTGATCCTCTCACTCATCAAGTCAAGCTATGTGACTTTGGAAGTGCAAAGGTTCTGGTATGTTGATTTCCACCCTTAAGAGTAATTTCTCAGTGGTTTGATGTATGCTGAAATTATTCTAGTGGTAGGCTAGTCATAATGTTGACAGCATAAGTGGTTTATTTCGTCATGTTGCTTTTACGTGTAGATATGCTGCTTTTGCCTTTCATGATTGATTTGTGATAGAAGTTAAAATTTGCACTGTGCTGGGATAGACTTTTTTAGATAGCTCAATAGTTAATAAAAGAAATTGCCTATCATGATCAATATTTCCAAATTGGTTTTATCATGTGCTGTTATTATGTCGAAGGATTGTTAAGTTTATTAAGTTGGATGCAAAGTTGCTGAGCTAGGACTATAATGATGAATTCCTGAGCTTGGATTATAACTGTTGGCCTCTCTTCCCTAGTTCTGTTATTTCTTCATTTTGCTATTTTAACAAATAGATTGATGATCTCCTTGTACTATTCCACCAGGTTCCTGGTGAACCGAACATATCATACATTTGCTCTCGCTATTATCGTGCTCCTGAGCTCATATTTGGTGCAACCGAGTATACAACTTCAATTGACATATGGTCAGCTGGATGCGTTCTTGCAGAGTTACTTCTTGGTCAGGTTAGTCACTATATCTTTATCTAAGGAACTGCAACATTCAGGTTCCTTGATTAGATTATGCTGTGATGTTATTCTGATTATATTTCATAATGTGTATTTGTCAGCCACTGTTTCCTGGAGAGAGTGCTGTTGACCAGCTAGTAGAGATAATCAAGGTATTGCATGATGTTGTGCAAGCTACATTTTTTTTTTTGCCACGGGTATTTCTTGTGTTAACTTGATATTATGGCAGGTTCTTGGTACTCCAACCCGTGAGGAAATACGATGCATGAACCCCAACTATACTGAGTTCAAATTTCCTCAGATTAAGGCTCATCCTTGGCACAAGGTAGCCATGTTTTCTTATATTGGATCACCTTCCTCATACCATTTTACTTGCAGGGCATTGTAGGCCACTTCAAAACCAGTTTCTGCATCATGTTTAATTTGAAATAAAAAAAATGTATCTGCAGCTGCTTAACTGATCCATCTGTTGTTCTTTCGCTTACCACCAGATTTTCCACAAGAGAATGCCTCCAGAAGCCATAGACCTTGCTTCCCGTCTTCTCCAATATTCACCAAGTCTACGCTGCACTGCTGTGAGTTTTCTTTCGTTTGCTTAGTTTTATATTATCTATAAATCTATTGTTTTCGCTAAGCGCTAGGATAATGATTATTTACATGGATTTGCTTATTTTAGCATTTCATTTCAAGTGTTGTTAGCTGTTACAGTCAAATATTCATAGACCGTGTGTCAAGAACAATAAACGAAATGTTTCTGTTGAGGTCCCTTATGGAAGTAGATTGATGGATCCCTGGTCCTGCATGGTCATTGTAATTATAATATCCAGTGGTCCAAAACCAAATTGGTGTGTTGGCTGGTGAAGAGTGAGTGCAACTTTCATACAGTCGCATGTGCCTGTTAAATATAGTTGTTAGTGCTCCACTTGAAAAAGTTGCTGTTAATTGTTTAAAGCTTATGCTTTAGCTGGAAAACAGTATAATCTCTAAAGCAGCATGCTGGACATTTTCAAAGAGCTTAGCATTTGGTTGATTATATGCAGCTTGACGCATGTGCACATTCCTTCTTTGATGAGCTACGAGAGCCCAATGCACGCCTGCCAAATGGTCGTCCATTCCCTCCTCTGTTCAACTTCAAGCATGAAGTAAGTAAACGAGAACATTTTCAAACAGTCGCTTTTTATGGTACATTTATATTTACCTGTCATGGATGCTTATCAATGCTCATTTCTGGTATGCAGCTAGCCAGCGCCTCTCCAGAACTCATCCACAGGCTCATACCGGATCATATCAGACGGCAACATGGCCTCAACTTTGCGCATGCTGGGAGCTAAAGGGCACCGCGACGCCACCGTTTTGTTCGTTTATTTTTCCATGAGCTGGACATTGCAATCCTAGATGACTCCATTGTCCTGGACTTGGACTCCATCTCAGATTGCACCATCCATGTTCCATGATCCATCCATCCGTCAAGCCATTTCCGCAAGGACTCAGTACCAGAGAAGAAGTACAATTATGTAAATTATCTAACCATGGAGAAATGCGTGCTGCTGCTGCTGGTGTTAAGTACGTGACGGGGCATGCTGGTTGAGTAGTAGGTAAGGTTAAGGATAAATGTAGTTGGTGGAGACTGAGAGACATGTTAAGCTAGGGAACCCTGCTTTCCTTCTTTTTTTTTTCTCCTTTCATTTTGGTTTCTTCCCATTTTGTGATCCTTAGCATTGCCCTACAGTAGTGTAGCTGCTCCCTGTTTTTGTTTGCTCTTTCATCATGTAAATGCCAATCCCAATCGCAATGAACCCTCTTTCCTTCACATCCTGGTCTACTCCCTGTCTTGATTTTGCAGCTTTGTTTGTTGATGATCAAGTAGTGAACCTGAACATCTCTGCAATTCAGTGCAAGAACACAAGAATTCAGCAGAATCATGTGATACAAATCATGCAATCCTGCGAGGATACATTTGCAGCGCACCAATCTTGATGCAGCGGAAGCATACACGATACAACATACGGTAAGGTAGACTACAGCAGCGGCCGTGGCGGCGGCGGCGGAGGCTCGTCGGTGGCGTGGTCCTTCACCTTGGCCCAGAGCTCCGGCCAAATCGCCTTCCTGGTCTCGGCCACGATCTCCCCGTCCCATCCCCTCGCCGCGAGCGCCTCCGCCTCCCGGACGGCGGCGGCCACCACGTCGTCGACGCCGCCGTCGACGGCCGCGTCCACGATGCCCCGCCGCAGGGCGTCGGCCGCCGTCATCTTGTCGCCCCGGAGGACTAGATCCCTCCTGTTCACGGCGTCGGGGACCTTCTGCCGGATCAGCTCGGCGAAGAAGTCGACGATCTTGAGGCCGGCGTCCACCTCGCTCATGTACAGGAAGCCGCGGGAGGCGCGCATGACCACGGCGTCGTGCGCGAGCGCCAGCGCGCACCCGGCGGCCGCGGCGTGGCCGGTGACGGCGGCGACGGTGGGCACCGGGAGAGCGAGGAGGTCGGCGACGAGGCCCCGGAAGGCGCCGCCCATGGAGGCGTGCAGCTCGGCGGGCACGGTGCGCGCCCAGTCCAGGTCGAACCCGTTGGAGAAGTACTTGCCCTCGCCGGCAATCACCAGCGCGCCGCCGGCGCCCGCGGCGGCGGCGGCGCGGACGGCGGCGACGGCGGAGCGGAGCGCGGACAGGAGGGGCGGGCCGAGGCGGTGCTCGCCGGCGCCGGTGAGGGTGATGACGTGGACGGCGCCGCGCTTCTCCACGGTGCACAAGCTCGCCGTGTCCATTTGGGGATTTCGGCGATGAATGCCGTCAAGACCTGGATGTCTGGACTCCTTTGGCGTTTCAGTTCACGTTTATCTTTTCGACATGAGCTTCCCAGCATCTTCGTTTTGTTTAATCAGCTGTCAAGAGCAAGTTCAATAGTATAGTCCACTACTAGCTCCAATTTATCTATAGCTAATCTAATAGCCAATTAATATAATAGTTGCTTACTATACTATTAGCATATGGTCCCACTGTCATACACACATTGCGTCTTGTAGTCCGTGCTGCAGCTGGCTACAGATTTGTAACCCGCTGCTCTTCTCTCTCATCTTTTATCTCATTAAAATATGTTTGCAGCTAGCTTATAGCAGGTACAATAGCAGGCTACAAACAAGCTGCAAACATATTTTAAGGAGATAAATAAGGAAAGAGAAGGACAACGGGTTACAGATTTATAGCCAGCTGTAGCACGGACTCCAAGACACAATATGTGTATGACATGTGGGACCATGTATTAATAGTGTAGTATGTAACTATTATATGAATAAGCTATTAAATTGGCTATAGATGAATTGGAGCTAGTAGTTAGCTATACTATTGAACTTGCTCTTAGTGTGCTAATCGTCGATTTGATTCCAAGTCCAGTAGCTCATGAGTCATGACGCGTTACCGGCCAATCGTACTGGATAGTACTTTTTTTAAAACATTTTGTAAACGACTCTTGCGTCGAAGATCAACATTACAATCACATTTATCTTGCAAACAAATTGTAGACTGACCGGTTTTGGAAAAGATAAGCACCGTGACGGAATGAGAAGAAATTTACAAGGTAAACATCATCGTACAATTCGCCTAGGCTTGGAGGGCAAGATTATAGATTTATTTTTACAGGAACGAGTTCCCAACTTCCGTATCCGCTTGGAGCACACGGATTTTTTTTAAAAAATACGTTGTGATTTCACATGAAAGTGCACGATTACCATGGGGATTCCTGGTATTCTACTAAATTGCCAGAAGGGTTTGAACTTTCTGAGTTACATTTATTGGATCATTGCCAAAGAAACATCTGTAGTGACATTTTCTTTTTCTAAACCATTCTCTTTTCATTTTATCAACATTGACAGCAGTTCGTAGCATATGTCAAATCATATATCTATCTCTGCTAAGAGAGTAAATAGATCTGAGCATTAAGATGAAAGTACATACCACCAAAACTGATCCAACTCAAAGTTGACAAAATAACAAAACATCTTTAGTTTTAAGAAGCATACAAATCCAACATCCAAATAACTCAAGTTCTAAAGAGAACTAGGCACTAGTGACGCTTAGGAGGTGTTGGCTTGGGCCTTGTTGAGGATGACACCCTCGTACTTGACCTGGAACCACTTCATGGCATCCTCCTTGGTGACCCTGTGCTGGATACCAACACGGGACTTGCACCTACGGCGCCGCGCAACACGGTACCCAGCACGCTCAAGAACGACGTAGAAGTCCATACCGTAAATACCAGTGGATGGGTCATACCTGAAAGGCAACAGATAGGTCAATTTACTTGTGAATACATAACTTCATTCAATGATGATGATGGGGTGATATTGAGGGGTTAGTGTGCAGTCAACAAAAAAAACAGACAATGTGTCAGCAGGTCTATGTACATCAAGGAACTACTATCAATAGAACAATGTGCCTTGACAAATACTGTGAATATAATTAGTTAACATGGGATTCCAAGAACATATCAAACAATAACAATACAATGATACATTAGCTGGAAAACACTAGCAAACATTTTGCAACAGTGCACGAGAGCATATCGTACTAAAAGCAAGAGCATATCGTAGTAAAAGAAGATACTCAATAACCTGCTACGAGTCCAAGAGGCTAGCACACTAGTGCAACATTGGATGATCAACTACGTCGCATGAAACATACACTGAACAAAATTTAGGAACCAATGCATAGCACGACTGTTTCTGTTATACATCAAACATTACAAATGTTGAAAGATGAGTAGCATTTGAGATTTGAAGTGAGGATTTTGATACAGAAACAACAAATGTAGTAAATACACAGATCAAACTGATTTTAAAAACTACATTTCACCCAAATAAAAATCTACGCATGAAGAAAAGTAACTACATTTGGGCGTTGAAAAGGAAGTTTAGTAACAAATGCTCTACATTGAAATAATACAAGATTATGGGATTATATAATCTTACTTGATGCCAAGATCAATGTGCTCCTGGATACCAAAACCAAAGCATCCAGTCTCACTGAAGTTCCTCCTCAGCAGCTCGTACTCCTTCACCTTCAGGCCACTCTCCAGGAGCTGCATTGCCTTCTCACCACGCACTGTCACGTAGCACGCGATCTTCTCATTACGCCGGATGCCGAACGACCTCACAGTGTACCTCGCTGCAATATCGCATCATCGTCACTCCAAGTCTGAAAGCCAGCAATAAACCACATACCACTGATAATAACAGGCCAGACTTCAGAATTTACCCTTGGAGAACACCGGTGACTGCCCACTCAGCTGCTCCAGCACCTAACAGAACAAACAGCAGAATTTACATACATTTGAGTATGGACGATCGAAAACATGATGCATAAAACTCAAAGTCAAAACAAAATGTTCATTTGAGGCCAATGAGGCTGGACTAATCATGCCCAATCTACAAATTCGACAAATGGAATAAATTGAAAGTCCAAACCAGCTTCTAATCGTAATGGCTTCATGCTAGCAGCATCAGTAACACAACTTTATAAACCATCCACGAGCAACCAGACAACAGCTAGATTGGACACACATCAATCAAAGAATAAAAATGCCCAGAACCAAACAATAGCTAGCCGCTACACAATCCGGACTGGAAAGCTCACCATTGCACTCAGCCTATCTGAAACCAACAAACCGTACAGCTCTACATGACTAAACCAAGCCGAATCTGACATGACATGAACAGGTGCATCGTGATTATTACCTTCGAGGCGCGGGTGAGGCGATCTCCGCTCTCGCCGACGGAGATGTTGAGGACAAGCTTCTGCACCTTGATCTCCCGCATCGGGTTCGCCTGCTTCTTCTCCGACGCCTGCGAGCACAGAAACCAACCAAAAGAAAACGCATCAAAACCACGCGCGCCCGAGCGGACAGAAGAACGAATCGAGGAGAAGACGTCGCCGACGGCAAGGCGGCGCGCCTCTCACCATGGCGAGATCTGGGAGGCGGCGGCGGCGAGGGGGAGGCGGGAGCGGCGGAGATGGGGGGTTTAGTGTTGCTCGGGCGGCGGCGGGGAAGGAGCTTTGTAGGAGTAGGGGAGGAAACCCTAAAATTGTTGTGCTGGGTGTTTGTATGGTGACAATTACTATATTGCCCCGGTGGAATGGAAAAGAAAGGGAGGGGCATTTACGTAATTTCAGTTAATAAAAGGGATTAGAAAAAAATTTCCGTTGCCGGGACTCGAACCCGGGTCTCTCGGGTGAGAGCCGAGTATCCTAACCAGCTAGACTACAACGGAAGCTTGGTTTCTCTGTAATTCTAATTTTATGTATATGTTTTGTATATGTAGCAATTTACAAAAAAAATGTCTAATCTTCTGTTTGCTTGTTCATTGGAAGATTCGACCTGATTATCACAAGCCGTATAAATCGATGAATTCTTGTCGTATATCTGTCATATATGGGAAGAACCGAAGAAGCCCAACTTTTCTTGGCACAAATAATATCATCTCTGTGTTGCTGTCTGATAAACTTCATTTTATCGGTTATTAGTATTACTGTTTGTAATCATGTATTAGGAGTAACAGTTTTTAACTACTTTTTATAGTTTGGTGAATGAGCCAAGACAATTACTCGGGACTTGGTTTCAGAGATCCTAAAACATTTCAATGCAACAGATGGCCTTAAAAAAAACTTATCATAGACAGGGGCTGACCATAAGAAGGTGCATTACATGTATTCTACATTTCTACAGCTTTCAACAAGTGAAAGAGGGTTTCAGAGTGAACAAAAACTCAAGAGGTACTCTTAGAAAGTCAGAGATTGCTGTAAAAACTGCTATAACAATTCAGTCACTGTCAGCAAAGTTGCTGGTAGTAGCCTGGTTATCTGCAAGACTGCAACTGCGTGATTCTTGGTCTTGGCCAGGACTTGACAATCAGACACCCTTCAGACGATCAATCAGCTCACTCTTCTTCAGCCTCGAGTAACCTTTCATCCTTCTCGCCCTCGCCAATTCTCTCAGCTCAGCCACCTTCATATCATTCAGATCCAGCGCCTTTGGCTCCCCATCTGCATGTTCCTCCGAAACATCAGCTATGCCTAGCTTGTCAACAAGAAGCAGATGATCAGTTCTGGGATGTCAAACAGCCTGCATTTGTTTGATGTGTTCTTGGAACAGCAATAACCAGTTCTTTTTCTGAAATACAACAGTTCAATCCACAGTGAACAGCATCAGTTCTGTACATGCAGAAACGAGTGCAAGTTCTACGTTTTCTTTTTTCACTTACCGTATGACTGCTTCCTCCTCTCAACCTCTTCGAACGGGTCAGATGATTGCTTCCTCGTCCTCCTCGAAGTTCTTGGCGATTCCTCGGCAATGGAGGTCTGGATGCTTTTGAAGAACTCAATGAGCTCTTCTTTGCTACGCCTATTAACCGTTCTTGGCAACGGAGATCCATTTGCTTCTGACCTGATGCTCCCCAACGATGAGCATGAGAAGCTATTCCGTGGAGGACAAAGCAGAATCCCATTTGCAAAGTCTGCAACTAATTGAAAAGATCAGTTACTTAACAAGAAGTTTCTTAGTTCATTTCGCCATGATTTGCAGTTTTAGCTAACTGCAGTTTCAAACCAGGTGTTATAAAAGCAGAAAGAGAAATGATGGCATGCTGCAAAATCATAGTTAATTACTTATGTTTATGTATGTAAATTAAGGCATGTGTGTAAATTTCAGAATGAACTGATTCACTGTCACCTTTGTGGAGAGCAAATGATCCTGGGAAGGCAGCCTTTGCGAGATAATTTGGAGAGATTTGGTGATGCTGCAAGAGAATTCCTCCCATTTTCTCCATTTTTTCTTGCTCCACCACACAACAGGTGAAGAACTCCCTGTCCTCCAATGGAGCCAAAAGTTTGTTCCTTCTGCTCTCTGCTTCAATCCACTCACAGCCACATGAAGAAAAAATGAGAACTGATACTCAGGGAAAATTTTCATTGATACCCTCAAAGTAATATTGAAATTTTTTAGGCATCATTTTGGAACTAGTACAGTAGTACTACAACACAAATGCGTGATGTCCTTTTCATGAAATTTTCTTAAATGTGAGGCGTGAAATGGGAAACTTTGCAACCCAATCCAGAAAGCTATCCATTTCAACCAAGCGAAGCCGCGGCAACATCGCGGGATTTCGCGGCAAAATTTGAACTCCCCTTCTTCTTCTTCTTCCTCCTGCTCCCATGGCGACGCCTCCACTCACCTCCGTTTCCAGCCACCTCCGAGCCCCTCCTCCATGGCCGCCTCCCAAGAACAGCAGCCCAAGAACAAGGGTTAGGTGCGACGTCCTCGCGGCGTCCGGTCATATCCTGGAGGCGGCCTCTGCTCCGAGGGGCGCCAAGAATTCGCGGAGTCGGGCACCGAGAACCGATGTGGACGTGCAGATTGAGAGGCTCTGTCGGGCGGGTGAGTTAGAGGAGGCGTTGAGGTTGCTCGGCTCGGATGGCGTCGACGCCCGGAGCTACGGCGCGGTCGTCCAGCTCTGCTCGGATCTGAGATCTTTGGAGGCCGGGAAGAGAGCCCATTTCTTGGTTCGCGCATCTGGTGTTGGAAAAGATGGAATGGATAGTGTTCTCGGAAGGAAATTGGTGCTGATGTATGTGAAATGTGGGGATTTGGAGAATGCAAGGAAGGTGTTTGATGAAATGCCTCAAGTGAGTGACGTGCGAGTTTGGACTTCACTGATGAGCGGTTACGCGAAAGCTGGTGAGTTCCAAGACGGCGTTTTGCTGTTTAGGCAGATGCACTGTTCTGGGGTTAGGCCGGATGCACATGCTATTTCGTGTGTCTTGAAATGCATTGCCGGTTTGGGCAGTATTGCAGATGGTGAAGTAGTTCATGGGTACCTTGAGAAGTTGGGTTTGGGGGTGCAATGTGCGGTTGGAAATGCGCTTATAGCACTGTACTCTAGGTGTGGCCATGTTGATGGTTCACTACAGGTGTTTGATGGGATGCCTCACCGGGATGTCATTTCTTGGAATTCTGTGATTAGCGGGTGCTTTTCGAATGGATGGCATGGTAAGTCTATTGAGCTTTTCGCCAAAATGTGGTCTGAAGGCCTCGAGATCAATCCAGTGACGATGCTTGGCGTTTTGCCTGCTTGTGCTGAATTAGGATACAATCTTGTCGGAAGGGTGCTTCATGGATACTCAGTTAAAACCGGACTACTTTGGGAATTTGAATCTTTGGAGAATGGGATAGATGAAAATCTGGGATCCAAACTGGTGTTCATGTATGTTAAATGTGGTGAATTGGGCTATGCAAGGAAGGTTTTTGATGCAATGTCATCGAAAAGCAATTTACATGCATGGAATCTAATGATGGGTGGGTATGCGAAGCTTGGTAAATTTCAAGAAAGCCTCTTGCTGTTTGAGAAAATGCATGACTGTGGAATTACTCCTGATGAGCATACCATTTCTTGCCTCCTAAAGTGTATCACTGGTTTGTCTGGTGTAATGGATGGTTTGGTGGTTCATGGGTATCTTGTGAAGTACGGTTTTGGGGCACAGTGTGCAGTTTGCAATGCACTGATATCATTCTATGCAAAATCCAACAGGATTGAAGACGCACTCATGGTGTTTGATGAAATGCCTCAACGTGACATCATTTCTTGGAATTCTATAATTGGTGGATGTGCTTCCAATGGTCTATATGATAAAGCTGTTGAGTTGTTTGTAAGAATGTGGTTAGAAGGACAGGAGCTGGACTCTACTACACTGCTAAGTGTTATGCCGGCTTGTGTACAGTCGCACTATTCATTTATAGGAGGAGTGGTTCATGGGTATTCTGTGAGAACTGGATTGATTAGTGAGACATCTCTTGGTAATGCTCTTCTTGATATGTATTCAAATTGCTCAGATTGGCGTAGCACTAATAAGATATTCAGGAATATGGAACAGAAAAATGTGGTGTCATGGACAGCAATGATCACAAGTTATACCAGGGCTGGGCATTTTGACAAAGTGGCTGGGTTATTTCAGGAAATGGGATTAGAAGGTATCAGACCAGATGTCTTCGCAATCACCAGTGCTCTTGATGCATTTGCTGGCAACGAATCACTGAAACATGGGAAATCTGTCCATGGATATGCCATCAGAAATGGAATTGAGGAAGTTCTTCCAGTTGCTAATGCACTGATGGAAATGTATGTGAAATGTGGGTATATGGAAGAGGCAAGATTTATTTTCGATCATGTGACAAAAAAGGATACAATCTCATGGAATACACTAATAGGAGGTTACTCCAGGAGCAATCTTGCCAATGAAGCCTTCACCTTATTCAATGAAATGCTACTCCAACTCCGACCTAATGCGGTAACCATGGCCTGCATCCTTCCAGCTGCAGCAAGCCTTTCATCGCTGGAGCGAGGCAGGGAGATGCATGCCTACGCAGTACGGAGAGGGTACTTGGAAGATAATTTTGTAGCCAATGCACTCGTCGACATGTATGTTAAATGTGGTGCATTACTGCTAGCACGCCGTTTGTTTGACATGTTAACCAACAAGAACCTTATCTCATGGACCATCATGATAGCTGGATATGGCATGCATGGTCGCGGTAGAGATGCCATTGCCCTCTTTGAGCAGATGAAGGGAAGTGGCATTCAGCCTGATGCCGGTTCTTTCAGTGCCATTCTGTATGCTTGTAGCCATTCAGGCCTAAGAGATGAGGGATGGAGATTCTTCAATGCAATGCGGAATGAGCACAGAATAGAGCCTAAACTGAAGCACTACGCCTGCATGGTCGATCTACTATGCCACACTGGGAATCTGAAGGAAGCTTATGAGTTCATAGAGACAATGCCGATCGAACCGGATTCGAGCATCTGGGTCTCATTGCTTCGTGGATGTCGAATTCACAGGAATGTCAAGCTTGCAGAGAAGGTAGCAGAGATGGTCTTTGAGCTGGAACCTGAGAACACAGGGTACTATGTTCTTCTTGCCAACATCTATGCTGAAGCTGAGAGATGGGAGGCTGTCAGGAAGCTCAAGAACAAGGTTGGTGGCCGTGGGCTCCGTGAGAACACTGGCTGCAGCTGGATTGAAGTGAGAGGAAAGGCCCATATCTTCTTCGCGGAAAACCGAAATCATCCACAAGGAATGAGGATTGCAGAGTTCCTGGATGATGTTGCCAGGAGGATGCAGGAAGAAGGCCATGATCCTAAGAAAAAATATGCTCTGATGGGCGCTGACGATGCTGTTCATGATGAGGCGCTCTGTGGGCATAGTTCAAAGCTCGCCGTGGCATTCGGTGTTCTGAATCTGTCACAAGGGCGGCCAATCCGTGTGACCAAGAATTCAAGAGTTTGCAGCCATTGCCATGAGGCTGCCAAGTTCATCTCCAAGATGTGTGGTAGAGAGATAATTTTGAGGGATTCAAATAGATTTCACCATTTTGAAGAAGGTAGGTGTTCTTGCAGAGGTTATTGGTGAGCAAAAAAAAAAAAAAAAAAACATGTTTCATTACTCAGGCATAGTTTTGTTCATAGTAGCGTACATATGTGCTACATATAGCACCATGTAAGCTTGAATATTGACTATGATTTACTCGTTACATTACATGAGGAAGAATTGAAGATGATGCGCTACATCATTGTGGTATTGTCTTTGTAAGAAAGAACAGCTAAAATAACACAAAACATAAATGGATTTCGCCATTAGTACAAGGAAGCTGGTTGCAAGCACAAAAACACGCTGACTCTTAGAGAACATACGTTCATTTCACCGTATTAACAATCTTGAACTCTCACTTCACACAACTAGCTGCAGAGAACTAACAATCTTGATTTCTCACGTCACACAACTTGCTGCAGTGGGCCTAGCTTCATCATTGTCAAAAGACTAGTCAGGACCAAGCTGACACTGATGGTCGGGCACACAATTTTGTGCTAAATGTCCTCAAGAAATTGTCCCATCGACTGGTACAGGGCTGCTCTTGGGCATTGATAATGCCGCACATTGTCAGTCTAAGGTAGATTGTAAACTTTGACCACCTTGGATGTGTCACACACAATCAGGTTATCTGAATCAGTCGGAGTAGTACACAACCAGTTCACCTGTCAAGATGTAGATCAAAGGTTAGCAATTTTACCCAATCCTAAGAATTCAGTCACATCCGTTAACAGCAAAATTACTATCTAGTAGTACATCAAGTAATGGAGTATTATGTGCAGATAGATAGCCAAAGTCTGCAGACAACATTTCACAGAATTTAAGGTTGAGTGGCTACCTTTTTATTAACCTTTATATCCAACACCAATTCAGCACTGTTGTTTGTTTCAGAGGAGAACCCTTTGGACCAATCCCATAATTTAATTGATGAATCATTGCCACCAGAAACAAGAAACTTCCCCTTCTCGCCAAATGCTGAAAATGTACTGTTAAAGTATTAAGCAGTTAGTAAAAGGGTAAGATATGTAAGAAATTACAGAGAAACAACATAGTGGGACTTACACGCAAGAAACAGATGAAGTATGACCACCCACTGTGTAATCAAGGTGGATCCTGTTCCCTTGACTTTGACTACCACATCCATCTCCTAAATCAGTTCTTTTCGAGCTTAAACTCAAATCTGCCATCCGAGGAAGCCCTTTTGATTTTGCAGGGGCAAGTTCATATTCTAGATCAACCACATCAACAGCACCATCTCCTCTTGCAACAGCACAAACTTTGTACGACCCTCCCAAGATGCCCTCTTCAGAAACTGCTATTGAGTGAACAAAAGGAGGATTGAAACATTGCCCACCTGAACTTCCATTCTGCATTTCAGGTGATCCTGACGTCCAAGAGCAAAAAAAAAAAAAAGTTAATCAATGCATGCTGGAGAAAATTTATGCGAAAAGAAGGGAATATACAGCATTGTGGTTAATCAGCAAAACCCAACTTTCCCATTTAATCTTAAAGATGTGAACCCATTAAAGTAACCATACAAGATTCACTAGGAATTGTTAGTATATGACCCTGTCAAAAGGTAAACACATACATAGAAGTTGGTGCAATGCATGGATTGTAAGTTTTTCATTCAAGGAAAAAGGAGGTACCATAATCTATAGAAAACAGTGTTCGCCCTTTGGAGAAATCCCACACAGCAAGCTTTGAATCAAGGCCTCCAGTAATAGCTGTTAGATGAAACTGAACTAATTGTGAGGATAAAAAAATTACAAATTAAAATAAAAGAATCCAAGGAGAATAGCTAGTATTTGCATCTTACAAGTTGACAAAAGAAAAGTATAAGTCAAACAATGAAGCATGAAGTAGCACTGACCTGTCCAAGGTCTCCAAGGAATGAATTGTACACTGCTGCAAATCTTATAAAGATAACTAAGGGATAACTGATTTACATGTTGCAGGGAAATTAAAAAAAAAATACTAGGATCATAAAAAGATGAAACATCAGAGTTAAACATCCCAGTAGCACTACATAAGGATACACTTGTGTGGGCTTCCCTCAATCTTTTGTACAGGCTTTTTTGGATGGTGTTGATAATCTGCAAAAGCAAAAGCAGAATTTCTCTAAGAGTGAAAACATGAGCAAGTTCTGACTTGGAATAACCTTCTATTGCACCAAAGCAAGGTAGTTCAGAAATCTATTTCCAATTCAAAAACTATTATTTTATCTAAATGATACACAAGCACACAAAATCAGAAAATCTCAACAAGAAAACTTTCTAACAACAAACCAATTAAATGAAGCAAGTAGTGTGAAAATATCACCATAAATTCTCTAGCTATATAACTTGTTAATAATTGAAAAACTAGAAAAACTGCAACATAAATATTTACAGTCAATGTTCATTTACTTAAATTTAATGGTAAACTGCATTGCTTACAGATTTGCCAACTCTTTCAACATTTTCAAGTGAAGTCCTCTAAGTCTAAACAGCACTACCAATATTTTGATCACTTAATATGTTTTAAGATAATAGAAGCATGCTTGTCTTCAACATTTATGTCAACACAATATTTTACCTTGACATCCCCACTGTCATCTGCAGCAGCAAGAAAACCTTTAGAGCTCACAGCAATCTGCATCAAATGTGGCCTTTTAGATTCTCTTTTTAATCCAATCGCATTTGCATAAAAGCTTTAGGTAAAATAATAAGAGAACATCCATAAAGTGAAAGCATCATTTCAGGATGAAATAGTGATCTTTTCATAGAGAATGAGATGGCAATATACTCCAGGGTACCTGATTGATTTCATCTCTATTGTAGTTATAAGTGTCCAATGGCTTTGCTTGAGGTCCCTAATAAGAAAAAAGAATCATGGTAACCATATTACAAGAGAGAAACCAAGTTAAGCACATAATAAAAATAGGGATGCTGAACTTACCATTCGAACATCGAAAGATAAAATTTCATTTCCAGCAGAGGCATACACAAGATCTTCATTTCCTACCAAAAGAGAGGACATTTTAGTGTGTGACATTGGCACGCCCCACATATTTTTGGGACAAAACTCTGGAGTGGTTTGGACAACGGAGGGCATGCTGACCTGCTTTGAAACACACAGAAGAAATTGGTTGATTTGTCGCCTCCATGGTGAAAAGCACATCCTTCGTACGCAAATCAAACCAGCAAAGACATCCATCCTAATGTGGTCAAATAAGAAGGGTCAAGAATTATGAATCATATTCTCAAGGTAGTGCGACACACGGTTAGAATTGTAACTTTGCAGAAAAAGGGAAATGCCCTAAAAGAAGAAAACACCTACTGGCTGTAAGATGATATCAGCAAACGGATGCACATTCACCAAGTTCATAGCAATTCATAACGTTCTTGCATGTACCTAGTGCCAATTTTGTAGTTTTTACCGATCGTATATGAAATCCTAGATGAGATCTCTACAACATCTTCATGCTGGGAAAGTTATGGTGGGACAATTGGTACTGAATTAGTGAACTCAAGTGCCATCAGGAAGCAGCAAGGACAAGGTGAAATAGGGAACTGGATACTAATCTATGGTTATGCAGGTTGCTACTTTCACAAAGTTACCAGTGCATTATTGTACACAGCAGTGGAATGATTATCTCAGTTTGCCGTCAGAGATGCAAGACCTCTATAGATCGGCCACATGACTATTGCCTACTAGTGCCTTATGAACCAGCTCAACCGCCCCCGCTAACGCACAAGCAGCCATCTAAAGCCTCCGGCAATGAATTTGGCTGCCAATAGTCATGGCTGCAGATTTCTGCATCGCAGGGGAGGAAGCATGCGATGCGAGCCTACAAGATTGTGCCACTAGCTCAGCAGACAGCGCCCACGAGGTGTTCGACCGTTGTCCTCAGCGAAGGGCACCCCTCTCCTCCTCCTCCTGCTGCTGCTGCAGCAAGGTGTCTCCCACCAGAGAGGCCACGCGTTGCTCCGGCAGAGGAAGTCGCAAGGCCCTGGATGGCGTCGCGCGCCTTCCCCTCGGAAGAAAGACCCACGCACGAGCAGAATCGCTTACCTCGCCGGAGGAGGCGACGACGCCCGGGCGGGAGGAGGAGGCGACGCAGCAGGTGACGGCGCCCTTCTTGTGCCCCCGCAGCCGCCTCGGCTTCCGACCCTCCGCCGCCGCCGCCGATGAATCCGTCTCGGACATGGCGTCGCAGCGCTGAACCCCAGCGAGGCCGACACGGAGCCGCAGACCGTGCGATCAAAATCCGACGGTCTCCGCTGCTATCTCGAGCCGGAACTCAACTCCGACCCGGACAAACATAGTCCGACTCGTAGGCCAACGCGTACAGGGAAAGGCGGAGACCGCGCCTATAAATAAATCAATCAACCAAGACCCAAAGCCAAACCGTCCCCTAATTTTTTCCTAAAAAAAAACTAGCGTAATCCTCCATCCAAATCCTCGATTTTGAGATCGATGGAGCGCAAAGACGGCGAGACGCCGGTGGAGAATTCCGCCGTCGGCGACGCGAAGGAGGAGGAGAAACAGCCTCGGCAGGAGAAGAAGCCGTTCGGGATAGACGCTTACTTGGAGAAGTGGACGGCTGCGGAACAGGAAGCGGCGAAAGCCTTCTTGCGGGCGTTGATCGCGGACGCGCACCAGTACATGGAGATGACGGAGGAGGAGGTGGTGGAGGAGTACCGACGGGCGGGGAAGCTGCACAGGTATGATCCGGATACGGAGTGGCAGAAGCGATATGCCCGTGTCGCTAGGGCTCACCCCCCGCCTCCCTGCGTCATGGCCCTCATACCTAAGTTGGAACAATACCTCAAGCTCCTCGATGAGGATGATGAACAAGATTACCTCAAGCTTCTTAATGAGGATGATGAATAAGATAAAAAATAATTGGGCTTGATGAGGATGATGAATAAGAGTAGAAGTAATTGGGCAGAATGAACAATATTAGAAGTAATTGTGCTTTTTTAAGGCTTATTCAGTTTTCTCAAATACATTTATGGTTTGTTCTCTTTGGTTTTTATTAAGACAAAGACATGTTTTATTTAATCAAGTTCAAAATCCTCTATGGCCACGCGACTTCTCCTCGGCCTCCACCAGCCTACTCTGGCACACGGCGGGCGACGCAGGCACACTTCAGCCACATGTACACTCGCATCGGTTGCCTCAGACACTACATGCACACTCTTGTGGAGGTTATCGTCTCCATACTTTCCATCGCATCTCGACCGTCGTCGACCACTCATGAACAGTTCTGGTCTGGTCCTGGGGTAGGACGGGCAGTGCGACCGCCCTGGTGCCCTGAGCCATGTATATGTTGGGTAGCTTGTACAACGAAGTTGCTTGCTAATTATCACAGGCAACAGATTATGTATCTAAAGTAGTGAAAATACTAAAGTTTTTCCTCACCACATTGCGCCACGTCATCAAGTAAATACTGACCATCTGATGAAAGGAAGATTTATTCCAAGCCATTGGATCTGGATGAGTCAGAGTAAAGGAGGCTCAGGGTGCGTTTGGATCCAAGGCTAGCAGGGGCCTAGCCTGGCCTGGCAAGGACAGTCGTTTGGAATCAGAAAAAAAATCCTAGCCCATGGGGGCGAGCTAGCCCATAGGAGCGAGAAAAGGCTAGCTCACAAGGGAGAGCCGAATCGGCTCGCCTCCGATGGCAAGCTCCTCGCGTGAAAAAAGTTGTTGATAAGGATGAAGCGATTTTTTTCAAAAGTTGTTACCTTCTTCAACAACCAGCCCCCCAATTTCGTCCTCCTCCTCCACTCTTCGCCAAAGAATCAGGCTTGCAGATCTCGTCGCTCTCTTCCCCCACTCTTGGCTGAACTATAGGGCTCACAGATCCAGTCAATTTGCAATCATCCTCCTCCCCTTGCTGAACTTTCAAGCATCCTCGATTCATCTGCAGTAATCCCGTGCCCATATATAAATGCAGTAGAGCCTCCGGCCTCCACGCAGTAAATCGGAGAGCAAGGCCAACTCGATTTGAGGAGAGCATGTTCTTGCAGAAGATTGCTACTGGACACAAGATTGCTCGTGGTGAGAACTGAGAAGCTCCCAAATTTGATTTCTTCCGCCGATGGTGCCTCGTCTATCTAGATTTGCAGGTACGAGGACTTTTTTCTTATATTAAATCTCTCCATCTTCCTGCCATGGATGGATGTATACGAGCTGTCTATGTTGCTTCATGTACTATTTCCACATCCAGTAATCTTGCTTTGGGCCTTTGGTGCTGGATTCTGATTTTGCATTAATGGAGATTGTCGATGGTATGGGCAGTAGTAGCTAGGAACTTTCTGGCCGTCGGCACCAAGCATGATGGAAGACAACTTGTATTTAAAGAAGTCTATCATGAGGAATGTGCAAAGCAAATTAATGGCAAGTATCACACAAACTTCACAAGTCGACAAGTTTATCACAAGTTGAAGGCTCAGTGGAAGGTGATTATGGAGGCAAAGAATTTGAGCGGGGCCAACTTTGATGATGTTGAGAAAAAAAATCCTATATGATGAGACTGAAGTTGTTCGAATGACTAATGTGAGTGTTCTAACTATTCTTTCCTTGCAAATAACTATCGTGTTTACATATAATATGGATGTCTATGTTTCTGACATTTTTCTTGTCATGTGTAGGCCAAAGATAAAAGGGCTAAATTCATTAACGTCCCCATACGTTGGTATGATGAAATGGAGTTTATTTTTCAAGACAAGCATGCAACAGGGGAATTTAATGTTCTGCAAACACCATATGACCATCCAATGACTGAAGATGATGATTTTATTGGTGATAAAAATGGCAGTCCTGGTGATGTTGACCCTTCATCAAATTATGACTCAGATTGTCTTCCAGATCAAGAGAATAATACTGGAAGTAGCTCATCTTCTAGGCGTGCAAAAGGTAGAAAATCTGATAAAGGTAAAAGAGTTAGAACTGATGATAATGTGGTTTATGAGATAACAGGGGCTATGGATAATATGTCTGAAACCATGTGTTTCACACATATGACACATCCAAATGAATCCCTATTCAAGATAATTGATGAGATGACGGAATACCCTGTCATGGTTCGACTTGAGCTGCAAACTTATCTCGCGACCCATGAGAATATAGCTGCCATGTTGAAGGGTAGGCCATTAGATTCTATTAAGGAATATGTGGCCCAATGGATAATACAAAACTATCCAGCTGCTATGTAATTTCTTTGCTGAGATGTTTGAATAATTACTATGCATTCAAGCTAAATAGTTTAAGAATGAAACGTGCACTTTAGATATTATTTAAATAATTGATATGCTTTGGTTCGAACTTGTAATAAAGTAGTTCACAAAGATGTTTGATTGTTTCCAGGAATTCTTTTAGCATATAGCTTTGCCCTTTTTACTACTTCTATCCGTATTATTCTTGTGGCCAAGTTAACTGTGGAAGAATCTGTAGTGTTCTTGTGACAAAGCCATCAGTTAAAAAAATTTGATCTGTGTGCAATATTATTTTGCTCAATATGAAAAGAAGCGGCACAAAATACTCTAAAGAGCAAGATGATTCGTTGAAGCAACCAAACGGCTAGCCACTAATTCTTGCCATAGAAAGCACACCAATCAAACAAAGGGTATATGGCGAGCCTGGCAAGCTGGCAACGAGTTGGCTTGCCCTTACCCAGCTAGGCTAGCTGGGCAATGGAACCAAACAGACCCTCAGGCTCAGTAAAATACCACTGTCGCTCCCATCTCTCAGTCAAGCAAAGGAGAGGCTTCAGGAAGCTTCCCCCATCTCCCCGTCACTCCCGTCCTTGCCGCTAGGCGCTAGCTCCCACCGGCCATTCCTCCCAATCTCTTCTCCCACCGGCCACCGTCACCGCTGAATACAGTGTCCTAGCAAACCATTGCCGACGCAAGGAGAAGTGGACTCTTCTAGAAGCTTCTGACAGAAGGATCTAGAGTTTTTGTCAAATTCGATACGTAGTACAGTTCTTCAATAGGAGAACTATGCAACTAGCAGAAGAGAATTGAGAAAATTGACGAAAAAAAAACGCAACGCTTCCTTGATCTTCACCACACCAACTCACCATCTCCCTATTGAGACCAAGTCAGTGCAGGCAGCACAAGATAGAAGCCCTCGATGCGTTGCCATGCTGCTGGCCGCCGAAAACTCATCTTTAGAAAAGATCGACGAAAGGGGGCTAGGTTGAGGAGATCACTCCTCACTCCTCAGTGAAGCCAGCCTCATCCTTCAGACATTCTCCTCCTTTTCAGCGCAAATCCACGGTGGCAAAGGTCGAGCTACAGGCTACCTATAGCAGAGACGAGGGGGACAAGATGCGGTCCTACTCGTGGAGTCGTGGTTGGTCTGTGTATCCCAGAACCCAGAGTCAGATGCAAAAGGGAAACAATGAAGAAATGAGTAGGGACGATAACGATGAGGACTGGACGATTAATTTTTATTTTGACTGTAGGAAAACGTGTAGGGCTGGATTGGTTTGAGGTCTAAATTGATCTTACTAATTTTTATAATTTTAATAATATTTAGTGTTTATTTAGTTTGAAACTAAATTTTAGCATGTCTTAAAAAAAAGGCCATTTCAATAGTTAACTTAGGTTATTTTGATTTCGATTCAAATACAACTTTAGCTTACCAAAATTTGGCATGACAAAAATTGATAAAACCTCAAACAGCCCGTACTGCATCCATCATCAGCATGTCTTGTACATATGTGACCTGTTAAATGCAGAGAAAAAGGCTATAGGCAGGATGTGTGTTTTAATATGCATATGTAAATAGTGTAGCAAGTATTCTTTTAAATAATTTAGTTAAGTACTTATATGCATATGTACTAATTACTCCCTTTATTCTAAAATGCACTTAGATATAGTGTTACCTTTTTACACAATCTTTTAACATTATACTTTTTTTAGGGAAATTTTAACATTATACTTTAACTACTACTAATTTCTTTCGTTTATTATCGATAACTACGAAATCAACGTTACATAAAAAGATTTAAATAGAAACCTGACGACACTCCCTTATCATAGTCCCTTATCATATAGTGATATAAAAATCAAATAAAAATCGACATACATAGCACTAATCATATACTCCTATACTTTTAGTCCATTCATTAGTCAAATTTTTAAGTTTTGATTTTCCTCAAAATAAGAATGCCATATATATTTTAGAATAGATAGAGAAACAAGTTAGTATTTATTTATCATATAATAATGCACTCTCTTTTGTCATAAATATATATCTTTTGTTTTTTTACCGAACCTTTAAAATTTTGCCCATCAACGAGAACTCAATAACGGGGCACTGTTGGCCTCACCCATATATACATATTTTTACATATCTTTCGAACGGGTCTTAAAAGAGCCACGCAACGCGTGGCTTACGTGGCTAGTAGAAGCTGAAAGCATGTTAATTAACTCCAGCCAGAGATGCATCGGAAGTCCGTTACAGTCCATACTTTTGCACCACTGTCCACTGCTTACGTAAAATCAACACCGTCGAAGCTGTCTCGTTAATTCCTCCCGAAGCGTTGGGGGAGGCCGGGAGGGTTTGGGGATTGGGGGTAGGGGATGGATGTTTTACATAAAAACCTCTACACTTATCATGTTTACAGCGCTACTCTTTGAAGCGGAATTTTCTCTTTTTCACATTGTATTTCACTGAAAGACAAGGTGTTTTCAGGATAAAACATGACGGGTTGTTAGTCGGTTTAAGGATCTCTGTGATATTTTCTATAAACACGAGTAGTTTTTTGCAAAAATAGCCAACCACGCTTATTCTCTCTGAGGAGAAAAAAAATTCCATAAAGAAAACGAGAAAATTCGTATGGTTAGAAGAGTTATTGATTTTAGATTATGACTTCTTATGAGATGTTAATGCGTAATTAGCCAACTAGGCTAAGTTCGTTCCCGCTAGTTGGGAACTAATGTGCAGTGCACGTAAAACGGACTAACTCATTAGCGCATAATTAATTAAGTATTAGCTTTTTAAAAAACACAGGATTAATATGATTTTTAAAAGCAACTTTTGTGTAAAATTTTTTTGCAAAAAACACACCGTTTAACCGTTTGGGAAGCTTGCGCACGGAAAACGCGGGGGAGTGAGTTAGGAAGTTGGAGGAACGAAAACAGCCTTAGAGCAGGTACAATAGCAGATTGTAAACCAGTTGTAAACACATATCGAGGAGATAAATGAAGAGAGAGAAGAGCAGCGGGCTACAGATTTGTAGCCAGCTGCAACACAAACTGCAAGACGCAATGTATATATGACAAGTGGGACTAGGTATTATACTAGTGTAGTATATGTTTATAGGTAACTATTGTTTAAACTTGCCATTAAATCGATTATAGATTATTTGGAGCTAGTAGTTGGCTATACCATTAAACTTGCTCTTAGTATCACTACAACATAATCTTTATGTCTTATTTACTCCATTTGTAGCATTGCACAATTTGCGCTAATATTCAACAGAAGGCGTGTTTTTTTTATTTTTAGGAGCCATATCATCTATTATATACTTTGATGAATTATTTTTATGCTACTACAGTTTACTGTTCAATCAGCAATTTTATTGTCTAAAATAGCTCATGTTTAATGATGTGTTAATGTTAATCTTTCATTTCTATTTGGAAACAAAACTTTTTTCTATTATATATGTGCTAACAGTGTAGTGCCTCTTTTTTTTTTTAACTTGCCTGGCCCCTGTTGACGAAAAAATCGAACACACCGGCTTGGGAGATCTGCTTAGCTCCAGTGCAGGTCCAAATATGATGACATACAGGCGTGCCAGTCAGTTTGATCCTGCAACTGACAAGATATGTAAACAATAGATCAAATAGCCGATCGGCTAACAAGCCGATGGAGTAGTTCCAGCCGATAGCCGATAATAGACGATGCCGATACCTGCCGATAGCGATAGGGTTTAATCAATCGGCTATATGTCCAATGCAGATAATGATATAAAGGCAATCGGCTGATGATGATGTAACAAAATAACAATATAATCCAGTATAAACCAATCGGCTAATAATGATATGATAGATAAGCATCGATCTGAAGGTTAAATCATACATCGGCTGGAATGAAATCCACAAGATTAGATTAAACAGTAAAACCTTTGTTGTCATCGGCTAATCCAACTTATATGTATATGCAATCCTTATGAGCAGATGCAACGTCCAGATAACTCACCGGCTGAAACCCCGATGAAACCCTTATTGGCAATCAAGAAGCAGGCTAGAGATTATGGTTCTAAGCACGACTTAGTAGATCAAACTTAACTGATGCAGCACTAAGTATGAAAAGAAACATAATATCTAGACAATCAAGCCGTTGACTGAGTTTTCAGGGTGGTAGATGTCTAAGCTAATCTAATATAGCAACGCGATTTAGCCGATACCGGCAGAAACCCTAAAACGAGAAGCAGCCGATAGAGCTAAATTGATATGCTAAAACTAGATTAACAGAGACATATGATAAATATGTAGGCAAATATATTATCTAAACCAGAGCAATCCAAGAGGTCGAATGTACTGATGCAGCCTTGAATGACGCCGACGTAAACGATACAATTGCCTGGGCCGACAGAACATTGGACTTACCCCTTCGCCGGAGATCGAACACCGATGCAGCCCCGCGTCAGGTGCCAAGTCCCGCCGGACGATAACATAAAGTAGAAAAGGTAAAAGGTGGCGATGCGCCGAATTGTATTGATCATGAGATTAATTACATAGACCCCGGGTGTACATATTTATACCCATGGGTTGATACAAGTCCTTGTTGGACAAGAAAGAAACTTTCCTATAGATAAAAGAAAAAGATAAAGTCCTTATAGGACACTAAACACACTTTCCTAAAGATAAAAGGAAACTAACAAACTATTCCTAATAAATAGATAACTTGCCATGCCGCATCCTCTTTGAACTCGGTCTCTTCCGGATAAGCTTCCTTTAGTAGATCAATTTCCTTAACCGAATATAGCAAGAATCCGACAACTGACGACTTGACAACTCTCATCGGCTAATCTCAGGACTTCGAAGCTGATGCTGACTATAAGCCGGTGACTACTCCGGGCTTACCAAATTTCACTGTTAACAGCCCCTAAGATTATAAAACGATTGATCTTGTCAGTGAAAATCGATCTTTTGCTAGCATAATAAAGCTGTGTTTAGTTCCCTTCAAACTTCCAATTTTTCCTTCACATCAAATGTTTGGACACATGTATGTGCCATTAAATGTAA